CTGATTGTTGCTGCATTCGCATTACTGAAGCAGTGCATCGAAAGCTGTCCCAATGTTGAGCGTATGAAAAATGGCCGTTGGTGTGATTTAATTGAGTTGTTCTGGAAGAGTCAACTGGGTGTGCCTGTGGATTACTTTTCCAACACCAATACACTGCGCCAATTCTTCATGGCTTGGATTCTCTTTAACTACATCATGACCGCCATTTACTTTGCAAAGGTCGAGAGCATTTTTGTGCATCCATCTTACTATCCAGAAATGGATCGCTTGGACGACTTGGAGACGTTGAATGTGCCCATATTCGGCGTACGAAATATGTTCACTGCCATCAAGCCGGCCCTAAAGCCTCATCATTGGCGTGCCATCGAGCAGCGTGCTGTCTACTTACCCCTAAAATTCTCATCCTTCCAATATGGCGTGCCAATAAGCGAGCGCAAGCATTCGCGTGTTGCATTTCTACTGCGCTCCGAAACCGCTAAAGACTTGCTGGTGAAGACGTACGATGTTGAACGCCGTCGGCCGAGATTCCATGTAATCAAGGAGCGTCTGCTCGCAATGCCACAGACTTATCTCTTGCCGAAGGGCTCACCATTTGGGTACAAATTTCAGCAATTTGAGAGTCGAGTTTTCGAAAGTGGCCTCTTCGACTATTGGGCTATGCGTGGCTTGCAGAAGGACAGTGTGCGCTCAGCGAGTTTGGAAGAGTTTCGCAACGATTTGCCGGACGATCTAAATTTCGAGGACAATGATGTCGATGATGACGGTGATGCGGATGATGTGGAGAAAAAGGTGGTGCTAAATTTGAGTATATTGCAAGGTCCATTCTATTTGTGGGGCTTCGGTATATTGTTTAGCTTTATCGGCTTTGTACTGGAGCATGTATATGCTAATATCTGGGATGGTAGGTCCCGAGTGATTGTGGTTTGAAGTGAGTTTAAGTTGAGATGGATCTCATGGCTTAGACTGGACCAACAGTGTACGTACATACATACTTATAGAGCGGTAATAAATGTTTTCTGGAAGTAAAAATCAATCTCGAATAAAAGCTCAGCCGATAATACACATTTTTTCCTATTGTATAAACTGTTTCAGTAAGTTAACGCGCTCAGGGATAACAGTTTCAAATTGGGGAGCTCCAAGGCAGACCGATGATGTGTTCTATGACTTTAAATTCCTATGGCGTCTCTTTTCTGGCAAAAATATCTGCGACAAACGATGGTTAGTGGCTCTTCTACCTGCATTCTGGCCGGTGAAATCGTTTTAGAAGAGTACCTTTGGAACATTAGTTTCCTAAAATGTCACTGTGGTCTGGTCCAATTAGAAAATATTTTGGGGCTTTCTGCAGAACAGTTGGCGCTAGTATCCAGAGTAGATGCGGGTCGTGGAGAGCCATTTCTGCTCTGTAAACCTTCCAAGAAAACAATTTTGTGGGAAAGGAATTTAACCTGAGAATTCTCAATAAATCTGACTAAAAAATGCTGCACCTCAGTCTAGCAAACGCCGAAGACTTACAGAGAATGTGGTTTATACTATCCTGGTAATTAGCCTTGCCAGGGCTTGTGACTCCCTTTTTCTTGGTTTAAGAAGGATTTTCGTCACTATCCTATCTGGCCTTTTCAGGAAACTTGTGATTGTTTTACAGATATTCGAACTCTCACGAGTCTTATTCAGAAGATTCTTGATTGGGCTGGCAGTTCCCACTATAATTGGCAACGGTTCAGTTAGGTAATCCAAAGATCAGGCTTCGAGTGATAGGCTATTGTAAGATCTTTTTATACAGCTTCTAAACAGAAAGTCCTATTCGAAAAAGCCCTGCGTAAAGCACTTACTAAGAACAGTTATGACCAAAACATATCCCGCGGTTGAGGCTCTTTAATGCTCTCTATAGATTTTATATGGACACTTATAGGGTGAAAGCTTCGCCTGATTTAAAACTGCTGTCGTCCATATGGAAGCTTTTGGAGAAAAGTATTTTAGAACTTTCTAAAGATTTTATATGGATCCTTATGGAGTCAAATCTTCCCTGGAAGGAGAGAGGTTTTACTCTATATAGACGACAACTGATAGTCATTGTTGTGAATCAAAGACGATGGAGAAGCTTCCTCCATTGTAACTGTTCATATAAAATCTTTAGAAAGCTCTAAAAAAGCTCTTCTTCAAAAGCTTCCAGCAGAAGCTTTCACTCTGCAAGTGTCCATAAAAAGTTAAAGAGCTTTTGTCGAAGTGGAAGCTTTCTCTCCATAAGTGTCTATATGAAATCTATAGAAAGCTCTAAAAAGCTTTTACTCTGTAAGTGTCCATATAAAATCTATAGAAAGCTCTAAAAACCTTTTATAGAAAAGCTTCGAGTAAAAGCTTTTACTCTGTAAGTGTCCATATAAAATCTATTGAAAGCTCTAGAAAAATTGTTTCTCTCTGTATATGTTTTGGAAACGACCGATTTAAGAGTACGTTACATTTTGCCGACTGAGTCGCTAAAAATACATTCCAACGCATCTGGTAGTCAGATTAGTTTCAGCAACTTTGGGAACCTGTGCCACAGTAGGTTTAACTTTTTTATCTAATAAATAAAATAACCAGAAAGGCAAAAACTATGCTAAGTTTATTCGCTTACTAATTACAATTAAAACAAATTACCATCAAGGGGAAATGCGTTCTCTATTTACCAAGCTATCACTTGCCTACTTCATTAGCTATGTAAATACGGCCAGACCTACATGCAGACATTATATTTACTCTTCTACATATTGCTAATGAAGTTATGACATGACACCAAGAGCTGCATGAATAGAATCCTTTTAAACAGAGGGCAAAAAGTAGTTTTCATATTAAAAATAAAAATGCTCTACCACAGAGTAGTCATATTACTGCTAACAACCATTGAGGGCCGAACAACTGCCAACTACGCATAAAACTCCACCGTTTGGAGCACAACGCTAACAGCTCGCTCGGCACACTAACTTGCTTGCAACAAAAAAAGCATGCAAAATTGCCAAAAAATACGATTCGTACATTGATCTGGTGTACACCAGTGTGCGGTCAGACAAATCAGCATTTGGTTTGGACTTCAATTTATTGAAGTGTATGTCCGAATTACCCACATACATATTGGATATTGGGCGCAGTCAAACAAAGAACGCGAGCGCGTATATAACAGTTTCAGCTTCTTTGTGTTACCATCTTTCGCGGCGGCAGCAGAAGACCCTACAACACCAGTGTATCTATAACGCATTTTGAGTATTTTGAATGCGAAGCAAACGCGCAAACATTTCCACAAATACATATTCATTTGGCGCGATGCAAAGCTAGAACAGCTGAGTGCACTTTTCGAAGCCATGTGGCAGCACAAGCAAATATTGAATTGAATGCGATTGTACTCACTGACCATCGGCCCATAAACACATTTGAGCCCTTAACGCCGCAGGGGTTTGCAGTGAAACACATCACAGATGACGAATATTTCTACGACAAATTGAAGAGTCTACATCTAGTACATGAGCTACGCATAGCAATGTTCAAGGAGTTTTTACGCGCTAAATCGCGCGTCGTTGCCACAGCTGGCTACACAGGCGTGGATGGGCTGCTCGCGAGCGTCTGTATATGCAGCCAGCTGATAACGAATATTACGGCGCTTGCACGCATTTGGTTTTCGTGGCAGACCGGTTTTCAGATAGTGCCGCATATTTCTTCTAGTTTCTAGTTTTTATAACCGAGCGCACTTGTGCACAAGGTTATTATAACTTTGTTCACGTAACGGTTGTTTGTAACAGGCAAAACGAATCGAGATAGATATAGACAAATGTATAAATAAATGATCAGAATGAAAAGAGAAATCGATTAAGCGGTGACTGTCTGTCCGTCCGTCCGTCTGTTCACACGATAACTCGAGTAAAAATTGGGATATCTTAACGACACTTGGTATGTGCACTTCTTTTGGGCGTAGGACGGATGGTATTGAAAATAGGCAAAATCGGGCAATAACCAAGCCTACCTGCCATATAACGGTAGTTTTCAGAAATACGAAAACTGCGATATTTTAGTAACTACTGAAGATTATTCACTCAAAGTTGATATTTACAATAATTTTTAGACGAAAAATAAGAATATTATAAATTTTTGGAAAGTGGGCGTATATTTTTTTTTGTTTTTATTTTTTATTTTTTTTTTTATTATTTTCTTCCAATTTAAATTCTAAGATTCTAAGGTTTCTTAGATTCTCGATATAGTGCCCGCATATTCATCATGAATGGTCATTTTTATCTGGCAACACTAAGGACAGAAAAATTTGTCTATGTGAGGCTTTTACTAGTCAGCCAGTTCTACCTAACCTTGCCAATTTTTTTTTTGTTTTAAAAGAAAAATACACATTTTTATTGAATTTTATGTTTTAGAAAACTTATCTTTAAAAAGACAGAACAACGCTAAGACCTAGTAGTAGGTGTTTCAATTAGTGTTTCGAAACACAGAAAAGCGCTTTCAAGTTAGTTGCCAGAATCGACAATTGCCTTACGAAAGGTGAGTTGAAAACAGTTGCCAGAATTGCCCCGTAAATAAAAAAATAGTAATATTTCGAGTACATACGCTTTGGCAACACTTTCCATATTCGAACTCTATTTATGTTTTTTTTTCTTTACGTAGTTCTTGTCATTTCCTTTCTCCCAAAAAAAAAAAAATAAATAAAATTACATATTTGGTTGAAATTGTATTTGAATTGTGCCAAAATTTTTAGTGAACGTTTAAATAAAATTAAAATTTAAGTAATGTCCTACATGACGAACAGCGGTCAAGAGTTCGATTCGCAGCTCACAGAGGACTT